AAGTTTTCTGCAAGTTTAAAACTATACAGAAAACTTAAAAACACAAAAATCAATATATATGTTTCACCACCTACAGAAAACATGTCATATAATCAACTCAGAAGAGGCATAAAAATAATTTGATGCTAATTCACTCATTCTTGCTGTTTTTTTAAACAAAGTATAGAATGGATTTTCCTTAAACATCTAATCCACAAAAAATTCTACAACATATGCCATATATATGATCTATTATTAAACATTTCCCCCAAGGAGGTGAGGGTATAGCTCAGGGCTAGAGTGCATGCTTAGCATGCACAAGGTCCTGGGTTTAATCCCCAGTGCTTCCATTAAAAAAAAAGAAAATTAATAAATAAACCTAATTATCTCCCCCCCCAACATCTCCCAAAGATCAAGGATAAAATAAACATAACTGGTATCTCCTCTGTCCTTCAACATTACTCCACAGGAGTTAATTAATTCTGTATGGCAAGAAATAATATACACCTGTATGCATGAGAAAGGAAGAAAGAAGCTGTCTTTTCTCACCTCTTTAAAATATGTGCTACCATATTGTCGTCACCCCATCAGTCCTAAGTGAACACTCTATTAATGTTTCACTTTGCCCCTACCCCCATGTTTTCCTTCCTCGGTGTCCTCTTTCCTCTCTTCCACGGAACTCATTACTTTCTAACCTACTGTGTAACTTAATCACTTAGGGACATTGCAAGTGGAATGTTTTGCTCAACCAGAGTATAAGTTCCACCAGGGCAAAATCATCGATGTCCTGTGCATGTGCATCTCATCTACCCGAAGTGTGGGACACACACATGATGTACAACGAATTATTTCTTGGAGCATGGAATAAACGTCACCTTACTTTGTCATCCATGTGTGCCGATGCTGCTACTCACCGTAACTTTCCCGATTCACTGCCCTCCCTGCATACTCAGTACCCTGACTGCTCTCGAGCATGAGAAACAACTACGGGTTGGGGCTTAACAGATATACACACTACTATATATAAAATAAATAAACAAGGACCTACTGTATAGCACAGGGACCTAAATTCAGTATCTTTTAATAACATGATGGTAAAGAATATGAAAAGAAAAAAAATGTGTATGTGTGTAACTGAATCAGTTTGCCATACACCTGAAACTAACACTGTAAATCAACTACACTTCAATAAAAAATAAAAATTTTAAAATAAAGCGAATTACCTCCCTCCCCCGTTAAAAAAAGAAATGATAATTAAAGATAAGATCAGGGATGGCTGAATATCCTGCAGCAGCCAGATTGAAAAAAAAAAAAAGGCCTTATGGAAAACATCTTAAAAAAGACTTGGTCATTGTATGGAAAAGGAACCTGTTTGGAAATCCAGGAGTTTATGAGGAAAGCACTAACCATTCTCTAGACTGCTGTTCTAACCTGCAGATCCTGGATCTGAGCTGCGACGTTCCCAGCCTCCAGCCAGCCCTGCTTCATACTGGTCCCCATGATCCATGATGACAGAAGCCAATTCCTTAATATCCTGTTGCTACTTTCCTGAATCCAGTGGTTTTCGTATAGTGACACATTCCTGAAAGTCAGGGGGAGACTGTCAACTCTGCCCTGAACGGGTTTTTCTTCAGATTGCAGGGCTTGTCCCTATACTTGCTTACAAACGTGAATAGTTATACCACCCTCTAGATTTTTTTCCAGTTGTCGAATATACTGTGCAGTATTTAACTCAGATGCTTCAGTCTGTCCATTTATCTTTATTTCAAAACTCTGAACACCAGCGTATACCAAGCTCAGTGTGATTACAGTAGCATGCCCCATGCATGTGGATTCCTATTTCCGGTAATTGGCCTACTCCAGCGGGTCAGTCTATGCAAGTGGGCGGTTCTTGTGAGGCGGGTGGGGCAGTGGGCAGGGCTCTGTGCCTCCTCAACACTTGCCTTTTGCTCTCTAAGCAGGACAGGAAAAGCTTGTTTCCCTCTGGATATTGGGGCCCTTTACCAGGATTAACTAAATGCATGGGTTTGGGTTTAGGAAAATAACGCCTTGAGTTACCTACCTTTATGGGGCCATTGTCTAACTCACTACATTGCAGAGTTTTTTCAAAGTTCTGTTTAATAAGCACTTGGCATAAATTCTTTCCTGTTCCAGGAGGACTTTCCTTACAATTGCATCTGGGGGATGCTGCTCATGTGTCCGGTATTAAAGAAGTTTTGCTATTTTGCATCAGTAGTGGCCTTTTCCCCTCCAGCCCTGCTAATTGATTCTTTTTAATAAACCGAATGGTTAAAAAAAAAAGACTTGATGATTAATAAATATATGTAACTATGTTAAAAAAAAGTGTTGTCATGCCCTGTGCAGCACATAAAGGGTGCACGCCCACTGTGAAAAGATGAAATGCGTATGTGGTCTTTAAAAAGGCGCTGAAGACAGTTCCAAGTGAGGAGATTATTTTATCCTTTTCTGTACAAGAAATTTATTTTCAAAAGAATTTTTAATTGGGGAGGTAACTGTTTATTTAATGAATTACTTATTTTTAACAGAGGTACTGGGGATTGCACTCTACCACTGCACTACACCCTCCCCTCTTGCACAAGAGATTTTTTAACCAGAGTTAACACTGATTATCTTGTAGAGCTTGAAAAGTAATCTCAAAGTAAAAAAAAAAAAAATCTTGGGACAAATATCAAATAACCACATCCAAAGGCAGCACAAAGGAGTAAATCCACAGTGCCCTCTGGGAAACCCATAAAGATACCACCTGCATGGACATGTCTGGACTCACCAGTTACACATCCCTGCCCCTAGGAGGGAGGGTATAGCTCAATGGGCAGAGCGTGTGCTCGTCATCCCCAGTACCTCTGTTAAAAAAACAGGAAAGAAAGAAATAAATCTAATTACCTCTCCCCACCCCCACACAGAAAGAAATCAAGGGCTGGCATTCTGGAGTACAGACATTTTTTAGAGCAATGAAAATGCTTTGCATGACATTATAACGATGGATATATGTCACTATAATTTTCTCCAACCTAAGGTGAACTGTGGACTTTGGTGATTATGATGTGTCAATGTAGGGTCATTGTTAGTTAAAAAAAAAAAAAGTACCACTCTGGTAAACGACTTTGACAATGGCTATGCACGTGTGTGTTAACGGTGTATATGCAAAATTTCTGTACTTTCCTGTCAGTTTTGGTGTAAACCTACAACTGCTTTAAAAAAAGTCTTAAAATTAAAAACAAGTGTTAGGGTAGACATTTTTGGCAAAACTTTTTCAGTTTTATATATATGTCTCCGTATTATACATGTGTTTTTGTGGGATTGTGATGTAAAATGTATTTTTTAGGTTAAAAAAGTTTGCAGGCGTGAGGGAGGGTATAGCTCAGTGGTAGAGTGTGTGCTTAACATGCACGAGGTCCTGAGTTCAATCCCCAGTACCTTCATTAAGAAAAACAATCAAAAAATCCTAATTACCTCCCCCACTATTAAAAAAAAGAATTTCACAATATTGTAAACTGACTATACTTCAACCAAAAAAAGAATGCAGAAAAAGTTTGCAAGCCACTGTCGGTTAAGTTATACCAGCAAATAAAAGCACAAATTAACCTCCCTCCCCTAAAAAAAAGAAAAAGAAAAAAAAATCAAGGGCCAGGATCCTTCTGCTCTCAGACATCGCCCCCCACCCCACCATGAACCTGACGAGAGACCGCAGTGGGCGTGGCAGGGCGGTCTGGAAGAGGCTGCCGAGCACCTGCTTTCCGTTTTCCTTTTAAGGTAATGCTGAGACAGCTTCTTAATTGTGAACCCAGGACCCCCGTGCACGCTATCTACGCACGCGCTCTACCATTGAGCTATGCCCTCCCGAAAGTTGTTCTGTTTTGTTTTGGGCCCCGGGGCCTGCCTGGATGATGGAGCTCTCTAGTAGGTGGCGTCCCCCAGCTCTTCCGGGCGGGATCTGTCGGGCTCTCCCCAGGGAGACAGGCTGGGCCTCCGTCTCAGTGGCATCCAGCTTGTGCCGGCTGAGCGCTGTCCCTGACCCGTCCTGGCACATCACCCTCGCCCTGGCCGGAGCACGGCCTGCAGATCCAAGCGGCTGGAATCTGCACATCTGGGCACAGAGGGCCCTCCATCCCCGCCTCAGCCTCCCTGGTGTCACTCTCCCCGCCAGGCACACAAGGCAATGCCCGGTGCGGGCTGCCCGGGCGCCCCAACCAGGTGGACTGGCGCTCCTGCGGACGGGCGGTCACCTCAGCACGGGCTGGGCAGGCTGGGCGGGCAGGAGGGACCAAGCGAAGCACCTTGGCCGTGGCTGAAGGCCGCGGTCAGAGCCCGGGACGCCACGTCTGTCCCCACGTGCCGCCTCACAGGTGCAGCCCAAGCTCCGCCGTGAGCCCACGGGACAAGTGGTGACCGGCAC